GCCTGGGAGCTCGGGAGTTTCTGAAAGGCCTGGGCAATGAGTGCCACAGATGTGTGGCAGAGGTGTCTTGCTGGATATCATGGATTATCACTAGAGAAGAGGCTCAGAGCTCTGTGCCTCATTTCCACTCTATTTCTCTTTTATCTCCCCATGTTCTTCAGCTGTTTTGAGACAGGCACTTGGGATGTAGCACAGGCTGTTCTCAAACCACTGATCCTCCTGCCTCTGCCTCAGAGTGTGGAGAGTTGATATGGCATATATGCTACCACACGGGTGGGCTGGTTGTAAGGACTCAGGCATTACGCTGGCCTGCCCCTGTCACCTGGCAGAATGCACTCAGGCAGTACTCTGGTCAGCCCAGGGTTCCATGAGTACTAGTCTGCAGGCAGGTGTAAAGGACCCCTTTAAAAGTCAGACCCCTGCCCACTTATGCTCTCTTTTGCTCTCTCTCCTGCTTTTGGTTGGCCACCAGCTACCCCCCTCTTCTCCCCTTCCCCCCTCTCTCTCCCTCTCTCCTCTTCTGTTCCTGGTGCCTCTATGTTTCTTCCCTTCTCCCCCACTCCCCTTTCTAAATAAACTGCTCATTCAAGCTCTGTCTGCCTGGCGTGTTATTCCCTCCCGCCGCCGTCCCTTGGGACCCTCACCCGGGACCACTCACCACCTCCCACCCCTTCTCTAGCTTTTATTCCTGGAACTGTAACGGAAGAACAACACTGGTGGTCCCTTCCTCCCTCTGTTACGGTGGCCCCTTTCTGAAGCTCGTACAGAATTCTCATTGGCACAGAGCTTGCTGGTGTGTCTGGAATTTGCTGAACCTAAGGGGGTGGGGTGGGGTGACAGGAGGGTAGAATGCAGCTCCTTTCTTTACTGGCCGCTTAATGGAAAGTGTATCTGTGTGTGTGTATTGTGCTGTGTGGGCACACATGTGCAAGGAGACCAACCCTTCACTCCTTATTGTCATCTCTCTGCAGAGCCCTGGGAGCTGTTGTCACTCTCTTGCTCTGGGGACAGCTTTTTGCTGTGGACTTGAACAATGACGTCATGGATATTGCAGGTGAGTCTCCGGGTTTTCCCCAGCTCGACTGTGTCCCAGTCTGCCCGGTGAAAACTGCACTGTGTTAGGGAAGACCCAGTTCCTCTTCATGTCCTCTTATTCTCTACATCTTTGGGGCCTCCCTTCCTCAGCTCCCACTCAGGGGCACAAGGAAGTCTGCTGTACAGGGCAGCTCCCTCTTGGTTGACTTTCATGGGGAGCCATTTGGGCATCCACATCCTTTACTGGCTTTTCTTGGCAGATGACAGCTGCCCAAAGCCACCAGAGATTGCAAATGGCTATGTGGAGCACTTGGTTCGTTATCGTTGCCACCAATACTACAGGCTACGGACTGAAGGAGATGGTAAGGCCTGCATGAACATCCCTCCCTGCACACCCATAGCCCTGTTTGGTGTTCTCATGATGGATGGATGAGTACTGTCTGGAGCCAGGAGAGTTAGATTCGAATAAAGTTTCTGCCTCCTGTTGGTGGTCCTCCCACCAAACTCAGTTGTCTCAGCTTCCTGTTTTGTTTTGTTAAGGGGCAGCAATGCCATGGCCTCTGTTGCCCGGGAGTCTTCACCTATGACATTGGGCAGCCTCGCCGTGTTTTTGACAGTTTCTAAGAACTTCACTTCGTCTCATAAGCTCCCATGCTTCATTTTTCTGCCGAGGAAACTAAGGCACAGAGAGGCCAAGATAGCCTATGAGAGGCAGAGTCAGGGTCTGAGTCCTGACCACCTGTGGGGACTGACTCCTGTCCTGCCAGGCACAATGTGGCCCGAGCCACGGTACTCCGACCTCCCTCCCTCCCTCTCCTCCAACTTTAACCCTTCTTGTTAGAAGTCTCCCCATGCCACACCTCTGCCAGACTGGCTTTCTCTGAGCTCATCTCCTTTTGTTTCAGGAGTGTACGCCTTAAACAGCGAGAAGCAGTGGGTGAACGCAGCTGCTGGAGAGAGACTCCCTGAATGCGAGGCAGGTGGGTGCCGAGGTCAAGAGTAGTCAGGGATCGAGGCCAAAATGTGACAGGGCCGCATTCCTTTTGTGTGGTCTGAATATGTGAAAGTCAAGGTAGGCTGGAGACAGCCACAGCTGGCAGAGCAGGGACATGATGACTCCCAGAGATCTTAGTAAGTATCATGCTCATTTACACCTAAGGGGTTGACTCAGGCACCTGTCTACCCTGGTTCCCATGGAGATGCTCTCCAGTCTACCCTGGTTCCCATGGAGATGCTCTCCAGAAAGTACACCTGCGTATAGAGACTTGGTCAAAAGTAAAGTGAATGCCCCAGGAAGGACCAAGTTGGCAAGGCCATACATAAGCTAAGCCCACAAGGGGCAAGACAGGATATGGGGGCAGCTGGGACCCCAGCATTCTGTAGTTCTCCCCTCTCCGGCCTGAATGAGGATTTTGCTCAGTTTCTACTACCAGTGGCAGGAACTGCCAACCTGCAGTTAACTTCAGCATCCACAACTGCTAATAACACTGCTACAGGGCCATCTTTGTCTGAGAATGAAACACACACACACACACACACACACACACACACACACACACACACACGCACACAGCTTCCAGCCCTTTCATTGAGTTTCAGAGAATTGTGGAATTTTTGTGTGTGTGATGATGCTTATTATATGTTATGTAGGTATAATATATGCACACACACGCAGAGTGATTATTGTTGGGTGTAGAAGCAGCAGTGGCTGATGCTTCCAGGGCCTCCGCAGGTGGGGCCTGCTCTGCGATGCTGCTCACATTCCTCCCTCCCTTTGCAGTGTGTGGGAAGCCGAAGCATCCTGTGGACCAGGTGCAGCGCATCATAGGTGGTTCTCTGGATGCCAAAGGCAGCTTTCCTTGGCAGGCCAAGATGGTTTCCCGCCACGAACTCACCACAGGGGCCACACTGATCAGTGACCAGTGGCTGCTGACCACAGCCAAAAACCTCTTCCTGAATCACAGTGAGAATGCAACAGCCAACGACATTGCCCCTACCTTAAAGCTCTACGTGGGAAGAAGGCAGCAGGTGGAGATTGAGAAGGTGGTTATCCACCCCAACCGCTCTGTGGTGGACATCGGGTTAATCAAGCTCAAGCAGAAGCTGCCTGTCAATGAGAGAGTGATGCCCATCTGCCTGCCTTCCAAAGACTACATAGCACCAGGCCGCTTGGGCTATGTGTCTGGCTGGGGGCGGAATGCCAACTTTAGATTTACTGATCGTCTCAAGTACGTCATGCTGCCCGTGGCTGACCAGGACAGCTGTGTGCTTCACTATGAGGGCAGCACAGTGCCTGAGAAGAAGGTTCCCAAGAGCCCTGTTGGGGTACAGCCTATCTTGAATGAGCATACCTTCTGTGCTGGCATGACCAAGTACCAGGAAGATACCTGCTATGGCGATGCTGGCAGTGCCTTTGCCATTCACGACCTGGAGCAGGACACCTGGTACGCAGCTGGGATCCTGAGCTTTGATAAGAGCTGTTCTGTAGCTGAGTATGGTGTGTACATGAAGGTGAACTCCTTCCTGGACTGGATTCAGGAAACCATGGCTGAGAACTAGTGCAATGCTAACTAGAAGGCCATGCCCACTCGGACAGGCTGAGAGCACTATTCACCATGGAAGAGGGGGGAGTGGAAGGGACAGGACATAACCTGAGGGTGCTAGCCCTGCACTGCTCGGTCACTAATAAAGACCTCGCTTCTGACCCGTTTGTAGTCCCTGCAGTCTGGGGCTTCTGTTCTTGTTTACATCCCTGGGCAGCCAAGAAGCATGAGGGGCTGGAAAAACGGGGACCCGCCTATCCCAAGGTGCCAGGAAATCCCTAGGGTGCTGTAGACTGTCTGCCTTGGGCAATCATGTTTATGGAATCCAGGTCTCAGGGAGATCACTGTGACCCTTGCTTTTCAGTCAAGGAAAAAGACTTGGAGAGTGCATTGGTTAAGGTCACTCAGCTACTGGGCTGAACTTGATCTTGGGTCTGCTTGAATGCAAACTCTGAGCTCATCTAGCATATCCTGTCACCTCTCTGAAGTGGGGAGGAAAGTCCTGACAGAGCCTTTTGTTTGTGCTTGCACCTGCCAGTGCCCCAGGGACTAAAACAGGCACATGCAGGCAGGCTAGACTTAATGGGTCCTCCCCACAGCTCAGCCCACAGATTTGCTCAGTGACCTAAGCTCCTGGTTACTTGTCCCCAGAGCTTTTCCATTAGGGATGAACGTTAAAAACTCTCGAGTCCCCTGGCCTGAGTGCTCTGGACTTGGCTGAGTTGTGGGGTCTTCTTCAGTGGCCCCTCTTCCACAGTGGAGAAACTCACCCTGGCCTTGAAGGCAAGCCACATGCCCTTCCATATCAGAGACAAAGGGGCGAGGAAGACACATCCAGAAGCTCTTCTTTCTGAACACTTCCTTGCCCCAAGCCTTCAGTTCAGTCCTTCTCTAGTCCACCTTCTCATTATGCTAGCCGCTGCCTCTCTTCCCAGTGTATGAGGCCACCAGGATGGGCTCACTTGTACCCTCAGCTACGGGATCACGGGAGACAAGGACCTATCTTCTAGAACCTAGGAGAAACAGCCGGAAACTGAAACAGCACAGCCACATACTTACACAACACCTGGCTGCCTGGCCCTTTCTCCATAGCAGGCCTCCTGCCTGCTCCCCAGCAATGCTTCTCCCTTCCTGCACAAGGACTGTCTCTTCTCTCCTGAGACCTTTCTCTGTCCAGGAGCCATTCATAGTTACACGGCATCTAGCACTGGACAGGGCATACAACACATGCGCAATAAATACTAGTGGGAGGGAAAGCACCCAAGACAGGGTATAAACATAAGTCAGACTGCAGAGGCCCCTCTGCCTTCACCCAAGCCTTCAGGAGGAAAGATAAAAGATTTTCTCTGTGCAGAATTGGAGATTTTGCTGGCACCTGAGTGAGCACTTAGGCTGAAGGACAGAAGACTCAGCGACAGTGAGTTGGACAAAGAAGTTTTATTTGCTCGTAGGGATGAGGAGGGTTTAGAGTTCACCTAGGCTTCAATAACATTAAGGTCTGACTTCTATGATCTCTGCACACTAACTTTTCATCTCTTAGGCCTAGGGTGGCTGCCAAAGCCCCATGTATGTATAAGAAGGAGGGGATGGGAAGGGACATTTTCCCCATCCCCAAAGTGGCACTCAGCTTTAAGCGGAGGCCACTGAAAGCCCCAACAACCTTCTTTCTGTGCCACATTCGTCAGAACCGGGGCCCATTTCATGTTTCCCTGAAGGACAAGCTTAGAAGAAAGCAGCGAAACAGAGCTGGCCCCGAGGTGTCAGTGCTGCTGTGACAAGTCTGGGGTCTCTGATGGCAACCGGTCTCTTGCTGCCCGTCAGGGCACAAGCTGCCTGACCATAGACCTCCAGCTCTGTACCTACTCTCTCATTCCAGTGTGTCAGGAACCACAGCCCCCATGAGGTTTAAGAGAGACACAAGTATTCTGAGGTTGGGCCAGGGGGATACTGGAAGGTTAGCTATTCTTCAAAAGCCACTGGAACCAGCAAATCCCACAGGCATTTCCTCTTGGCAATTCTGATATACCTTTGATCGTGAGTCCTTGAAATAAGGGGTGTTGGCATTGCCTTCTGGGGAGCTCTGATCCTTACTTCTCAAGGAAGCAAACTTGTTTAGCTTAAACTGTGCTGCTGGATGGTGAAGGGCTATACCATTGACCTCCTCGTGTCAATTTAACAGCTTGCCAGCTATAAACGAACAGACCAGGGCAGTGCTTTCAGTCCCTAAAACAAAAGAGCTCACCTAAAAGAAAGTTAATTATTTCAAGAGAAGCTGGGGTAGGAGGGAGCAAAAGAAGCAAGTGAATGGAAGCACGGGGAAGGGTGTGTGTGTGTGCGTGCGTAAACATGTTAATCAAGCTGTTCTCATAGTGTCAAGGAGGATGCATGACCTTAAATCCAGATAAAGGGAAGTTACAAAGGCCACGGAACACTGTCACCTGACTGCTCTGAGGCTCTCAGGGAATGGACGCTCAGGCACCTGGATCTTGGGAGCACTGGCAGGGCCATTGATTACAGGCACATGAAACCCTCTGCGGGGGCAGTGAACATGTCTCTGAGGGACTCCAGACCACAGGCCCTCTGGGTTCAGGTCCTGTTTCCACCCATGTCTCTTTCATCTCCAACAGCCACGAGTGTGCTAAATGTCTTGATAGAGGAGGTCATATTTGGGGATATTCTTGGGATCAATAGGACTCTGAACAATAAGTTTTCCCCTCATTGCTCCCCGGTAGATGACTTCAATCAAATCCATGAAGTCTTGTTTGGTTTTGAAGCTTCCTACAAATTTAGTGTGATCTGGAGACCTGTAGTAGAGAGAAAAACAAGCATGGTCAGAGCTTGCCAGTGTGTGAAGCCTGTGTGGTCAGCAGCAAGCAGGGGCCTCTCCCTCCCTTCTTGTCTGGGAGGTTCTCTCCACCTGTGGCCTGACCACTGCCTTTTCCCAGGCAGCGTACATCCAGGGCTGAGAGCAAAGTCCAGGGTGGGAAGACTCTGTCTTTTCCCACATCATTACCTTGTAGAGGCCTCTGAGTGCTGGAGGGGGCAGGGTTGGCGCAGTCTCTCAAGTCCCCCCCCCCCCCACTGATGCTTCTGACCTTACAAACTATGTTTAACATACGGTATATTGCTTGTAGAAACTTTTAAAAGAGAAATAAAGTCAGCTATGAGGCCAGAAGCCATCTTTTGATATATATGTATCCTTCCAGGTCTGTGTGGGGGTGTGTTTCCTATTTATTTTAAGATAAAAATCATGTTACAAACTAGTCAATAATGAGGTTTTACAAGTAATATTTGCCCCAGAATTGTAAAATATGCATCTCCAACTTACTATTAAACTCCTGGAAATGTAATTACTGGGTTAAAAGACCAAGCACTTAAAAGGTTTGATACTTCTTCCTGGATTCCAAGTAAGAAGGTTGTACTTAGTTACTATAGTAACTGAATCCTAGGATACGCAGCTCCAAACAGACAGTGCTAAGCTCACCAGGTAATGAGAAAGCAGATGCACCTTCTCAGACAAGGGATGACCACAATCCTTACAGCCAACAGTGCTCACAGAGGGGTTACAGGATGGAGAGGAGGGTGTTACAGAAGATACCATGTGACTTATTTTGACAAAGCCTTCTTGAAGAATGATTTCAAAATTCTCTGAGTGGCAGAAGACACTTGCAAGAGAGAAGTATGTCTCCCTGGCACACATGCTTCTTGTATAAATGCCAACCACCAGCTCCAAAGCTTAGAAACCAGGGATTTTCTTGCAGCAAAAAAAATTTTTTTGGTAAATTTATAATCTATTGCTCAGCTAATATAGCTATTCTATATTTTCTAAACTTAAGAATGGTTAGTCAATACTTCAAAAGCTATACTGTTTTTTCATACTTCAGTTAGGAATTAACATCTATCAATCACACCCGAAACCCTCACACTCTGAACAAAAGTTTCCCATGAGGAGACAGCACTCATTTCACTTGGCCAGACTCAGACAGCCAGCAGAAAAGTGAGTGAGCTTCTGAACCTGGTCTGATAAAACCAACTTTCCAGATTGTAGTCAACTTAACTTACCCATAATCCACTTTCATGTGCTGTCCATTGAAGAAAAATACAGTAGATGGAATATAACTGATGTCAAAGTACTGCGTATAAACCGGAGTGTGGTCCACATCTACCAGGTAAATAGCAGCCATTTTACTTAAGTCAGCAGAGGTCTTTGAGAGCTGTGAATGACAAGATGGATGGAGGTTACACTATATTATGCCAGGTGCATAATGCTTCTTTTGTGAAATATACTAGAATATTGTATGTGAAACTTACTATAACATTTTTTTGGAGAAGAAAAATTTTGTTTCAGAAATACTTGGAGCAAGAATCAAGCCCATTTGATTTCCTTAAAGACACCATCCTGGCCTGGATCTTGCTATGTAGACCAGGCTGGCCTTAGGCTCACAGAGGTCCACCTGCCTCTGCCTCCCAAGTGCTGGGATTAAAGTGTACGCTGCTGTGCCCGCTAGACATACTCCTGCTGTTCCGAGGGTGGATCCTTGTTGACAGGGTCAGGAGAAGGCATTGTGTGGTGGTGTGAATGAGAATGGCCCCATGGGCTCACGTATTTGAACACTTGGGTCCCCAGCTGGTAGAACTGTTTGAGGATTAGATGTGTCACTGCGGACAGGCTTTGAATTTCAAAAGCCCAGACTGTTCCTAGTTAGCTTTCTTGTCTTTTGCTTGTGTCAAGATGTGAGCTCTAAGCTACATCTCCAGCACCATGTCTGCCTGCCTGCTACTAGGTTCCCTATCACAATGGCCATGGATTCCAACCCTCTAAAACTACGAGCGCCAAATAAACTCTTTCTTATATAACTTGTCTTGGTTATGGTGTCTTATCTAATATGTTTGATCCTTTTTCTTTTGAGATTAAGGTTTTTCTTTTTTAAGTTTTATTTATTTGTGTGTGTGCAGGGGTTGGGGGTAGGATGGGCGAAAACTTTTTTTTTAAAGTTTCATTTATCTCTCTGTGTGTGTGTGTGTGTGTGTGTGTGTGTGTGTGTGCGTGCAAGGGTTGGTTTTTAGTTTTATTTATCTATGTATGTGCACAATGGTTGGTTTTAAGTTTTATTTATCTGTGTGTGTGCTGGGGTTAGGGGTAGGATGGGCACATATGTGCTATCGTGCATGTGTAGGAGCCAGAGGACAATTTGCTGGGGTCAGGTCTCTCCTTCTTAGTGGCATGAGCACTTACTTGCTGAGCCATCTATCTCATGGGCTCATGTTTGATTATTTTCAAGAAAGGAATCTATACTCACTTAGGGTGAGCTAAGCATGCGGTCTAGTTTCAATGCTTGGAACTTCAAAACAAAACTACAGATCTTGACATACCCACCTGCAACAACTCAGGAATATCCACATAGATGCTGACTCTCCCAAGGCTCTTACCTCCTAGAAATGAAAACTAGAGAAGTGCCTGATGCCACCTCCCATGGACTAACTATCCTCAGTGCTTTACACTTGTTAGCCCACTTAACATTTAGTGTATGAGTGTGCCCACCAACACCCCCATTTTACAGATGACAAAGTTGAGGTAGAGGAGGTAGTTCTAGGACACACAGCTCCTAAGCAGCAGGGGTGTGATTGGAACTTTTGAGGCTTGGTTTCAGAATCAATCAATCAATTAATCAATCTATCTATCTAATTGTTTTGTTGGCATTGTGGGTTGAACTCAGTGCCTCATACATAAGTGGCAACTGTTCTACCACTGCTGACTGGTGTGTGTGTGTGTGTGTGTGTGTGTGTGTGTGTGTGTGTGTGTGTGATGCATGTGTGAGTATGGGTATGCATGGAGGTGAGAGGACAACTTCCAGGATTGTCTTCTCTTTCCACCGTGGGTTCTGGAGACTGAACTCATGTTGGCAGTCTTGTGTAGCATGCACTTTCCCTGCGGAGCCATCTAACCAGCTTCACACATTCACTTTAATGACATAATGCTACTCTGCCAATTGATGGGTGGGAAGAGGTGCCAGTCCTGGGTTCAATCTCCACAGTAAATAAGGACAAGAAAAAAAAAAATACAGTAACTCTGCTCCTAATTTCCTTCTTTACTAATTTGAGTGTGAAGACATGTTGTGAAACTTGATCTCTCCTCCAGGCACATTCTAGCAGCAGCAAACAAGTAGAGCTTTGGCCACCAGGGAGAGTTCAGACACCACTTTACAGCTTCTACATCCTGGAGGGTTTCTGCAGCCCTGGATGTGACTGCTGCTATGACTGATGAAAGGGCTTTTAGACACCTAGGGTTGGCATTTCCTGCTCTTCCCCTGCCTCAATTTTCAATTAAAGCTGCTTATTCAAAAATTCACTTATGGGGCTGGGGAGATGGCTCAGCAGTTAAGAGCACTGGCTGCTCTTCCAGAGGACCTGAGTTCAATTCCCAGCAACCACATGGTGGCTCACAACCATCTGTAATGAGATCTGGTGCCCTCTTCTGGCCTGCAGGCATACATGCAGGCAGAACACTGTATACATACATAACAAAGAAATAAATCTTAAAAAAATTCACTTATGTCCTACTTTACTTATGGACAGGGTGGTGGTGGCACACACCTTTAATCCCAGCACTCGAGAGGCAGAGACAGGCTTATCTTTGTAAACTGGAGACCAGCCCAGTCTACAGAGCAACTTCCAGTACTGCCAAGGCTATATAGAAAAACCATCTTGAAAAACAAACACTCACTATGTCATCCAGCTGCAGACAGACAGGGTCCTCATCCCTCCCAAACCTGAGAACCAACACCTTCTCTGCAGTGCTTTTGATGGCCTGGTCCACTTCTTTCTTGCTAGTCAGCTTGGGCAAGAGGAAGCTCATCTTGAAGAAAATTCCCGTGCACACTGCCAGTTCTGTAACGTTTACAGGCTGCTGCAGTGCATGAGTCCTAATGTAAATAACAAAACACTATTGAGCACCAGCCATGTATCAGGTGATTGAAAAGGCACATTTCAGGGAAAATATCTGTGAACAGGCCCCACACCTGGCTTCCCATCCTTGGGCCCAGACTCCAGAACTTCATGTGCCATCCTGAAACACCCAGCAGGTAAGTGCTTTCAGTAATTTCTCTCAGAGATACGTGAGAAATTATGTGCCATACTAGAAGAACACATACATGTTTCTATATCCCCCCTCCTTTTACAAAAAGAGATAGACTGTATTATAAGTCCGTGGTCCAGCAAGTAAGAGATGACATCCTCAAATGTGGGAACTGGAGATTTAGTTAGGACAGAACAGGAAGAGAAGGCAAAGCCTGTAACTGCAGAGCGCTGTCCCCACTTAATAGTCCTGTGGAGCTGTGCCCAGGTGAGTAGGGAGGCAGCTGCACAAAGACAGGTTGGCCTGCCACTAAAGGATGCTGCTTTCCCTACCCTCAATACCACTGCCTGACTCCAAATGGAACCAGAATTTATGGGACAGACAAACCTACTGATCTCAGCAGTCTAGCGTAGGAGGAAGAGCAGCTGGGAATAGCAGAGGCTCAGTACATAACTCACCCATCTTTCTGCACTTTGCATTGTTTTAAATCTAACATTTAATGAGATCCCCATAGCCCTACATAGAAAACGTCCAGATTTTATCACACATTTCACATGTGGGCCATACTTTAGTGGTCCTTCATTGATGGACCTTTGTATTTTCTCATGTCCTGGCTTAAGGAGTATTCCTAGGTGCAGTTTATCACATAGCAAACAGACCAGTTATAAATGTGTGGAGCCAGGCATAGTGGCTCACACTTTTGATCCCAACACTTGGGAGGCAGAGGTAGAAAGATCTCTGTGAGTTAGAGGCTAGCCTGATCTATAGAGTAAGTTCCAGGATAGCTAGGGTTAAACGGAGAAACACAACAAAAAAAGTATGTGGAAATCAAATTAAATAAATCAATCAAAAGATGCTGAGTTAGAGGGGCCTAATTGGATTTGTTCTTTGTCTCCTTTTGGTGCCAGGATTCTTATTCCATAGACTAGTTTGTTCTGTTATACTTCTAGCTATAAGACAAAGGCTAGAATTTGAGCTACCTAATTTTTTGGGAAGAATCTTCATATTTGAGGAGTGCTATGATTGAAGAGCCATTATTGAGGGCATCTACAATGAGATGTGATGGAGAGATTAGATACTTTGAATTTAGTTTCAATGTTTGTTAATGCTATGAAACCTGAACTCTCTTCTCCCCTTTCATCAAAAATTATATTTCAAGGTATGGTAAGGGCTGGGAAGATAGCTCAGTTGGTAAAGTGCTTGCTTGGCAATTGGGAGGACCGAGTGTAATCCCCAGGATCCATGTTAAAGAAGCTTGGTGTGTGTGAGTATGTTTATTATCTCAGTGCTGGGGAGGCAAAGTCAGGCAGATCCCTAGGGTTTGATGGCTAGTCAGCCTAGCTTATTCAGTGAGTCACAGGCCAGCCTAAGACCATGTCTCAAAAAGACTACCAAGGATGGCAGCCGAGGCATGACACCTGAAGTTGCTTTTAGGCCTCCACATGGCATGGACAGGCAGACACACATACACAAACACACACACAAGATAGGAATAAATTTTATACAAGAAATGAAATTGTCCCAGCTATAGGTCACACTTCATTTGAATATTTTTACATGTGTGTCTTGCCTGCATGTATGTTTGTGCACCACTTGTATGCTGGTGCCAACAAAGGCCAGAAGAGAGTACCAGGCTCCTTGGAACTGGAGCTGGGAATTGCACCCGGGTCATCTGGAAGAGCAGCTAGTGGTCTTAACCTATGAGCTATCTCCCCAACACCTTGATCACATTTTAAATAGTGAAGCTGACTGCCAGGAGGGATTTCATCAAATTTGAGTGCAGAATAATTTACTGATGAAAGAGAAACACAAAGAGAATATGTACCTGTCTCATCATCTGAATTCAAGCAAACAAATTCCTGTGCTACTAATAAAAAAAGAGGACAGGGAAGATATGTGCTCAACAGAGAGGCCCCTCGTGGTACTGGATAAATGTTGGAAGCAGTGAGAAACTGAGACCATATCTAATACAATGTTCACATGGAGGTTACAAATGGAGAATCATGACAGAAATGAACAATAAATACATTTGGAAAGCCCAGTTTTGAAAGTAGACAAAGAATGACAAGTTAAAAAGCATATTTAAGAAATGCATTAAAGTTGACAAACATTAAATAAGACAGTAACACACGGTGGCAAGAGACTGAAGAAACAGGCAGGCAGAAATGTTGGGATTCAGAGACAAAACCTCTTAGGAAAGAAAACTGCCATATTTTTTACACAAAGCCTGTGAACAAAGACACAAAGACTTATGTTCACAGGCCAATAAATACATTTATCATGGCAAAAAGCTGTAAATAACCAAAATGTCCATCAACAGGGTATTGAAAATAGTAGTATTGTGACCTATCTTATATAATCACTGAAAAAATATGAAGCAGTATGTAAAGTCTGATTTCGCTTTTTGTAAAATTTAATGTATAACATTTACATAGGAAATGAAAATAAATATTCCAAGATGATAAAGATACCATCAAAGGACACATTTGAACATGAACAGACAGGTGATTAACATTTTCACTAAGGGTCTCACTTAGTAGCCAACGTTGGCTTTGACTTTGTGGTAATCTTCCTGTCTCTGCCTCACAATTGCTGGGATTACAGGCATGTGTCACCATGACAAGTAGATAACTGTTATTTACGTCAGGGCGGACCTGTCTACTTTCCAAGATATTTCGCACATGTGTTTTACTAGATGCGGCTGGTTGGGTTACTCTTGGTCCACAGGTGCCAGGGAGGGCACTTAAACCACTTGTCTGCAATCCGGACGCCTTCACGGGATAGCCAAGGCACAACTGTCTCCTTCCTCAGTCCCTCACGGGACAGCCAAGGCACTGCTATCCCCACCCTCAGTCCCTCACGGGACGCCAAGACACTGCTGTCTCCTTCCTCAGTCCCAACCAAGGAAAGGATCTTAACCCCAACTAACCTGGACTACTGCTTAGAAACGCTTCTTCGGCCCGCACAAGCGGAAGTGGGAAACACGGACGCAGAAAATAAACGTATCAGTGCGCGTCTCAGTCAATTGACCAATAAGCAGACGACATTATTTTAGTTCTCGCCCACTTGGTAACGTCACAACCGGAAGTTATGTAATTTCCGCCCATAGTAAATATGGCCGACATCGGTCTGTCGTACCTCTCACGCCCACAGGCCAGAGGCGGGGTGTCAGCTATCACGCCAAGCACGATTGGTCGCAAGGAGACCTGGGGCCCAGAGGAAGGCACCGCGGCTTTGAAGGCGTGTTCACGTTGTTTCTCTCTGGCGTCCGGGAACCTTGGATTGCGGCGCTACTCTCGATGGTATTTTTGGACGGATAGAGGATCCCGCGCAGTGCATTATGGGACGATGATGGCCGCTTTCAAACAGCAGGATTTACCTCTTTGAGACCGTCTGACCTCGCAGTGTTCGCGCTGGCGTCCCCAAATAAGTGGCAGAAGGTGCCAAGAGTTGTGCTTGGTGAGGTGAGCATCTCTTCCTCTTTTCAGATCCGTCCTTCGGCCGCCATGGCGGCTCCAGGCGGCCGGGGTCTGCTCGCGGCTTCGGTTTTGGGCCCTGGTTTCAGAGTTCCTCTTGCCCTTGTTACCCAGCTCTCCCTACTCAGCGAAGCGGTCTTGTAGTCTATCCTGCCTACTCCGGACTTTGTCCCTGTTATGATCACATCCCGGTGTTTGGGAACAGCCCCACTAAGATCTAGGGATCCGCCCTGCGCCCTCGTTTAGGACGGTGCCCTAACCTGTTACCGGGTACCTGGAGAGCCTGGATAGAGCTCTCCTGGTGCCTTCCTCCTTTCTCACCCAAGTGTGCCCACTACACCTGCTGTTAATCTATAAGCACAATGTTAACCGCAAAGGGCAGGGACTTTTTGTTTATTTTTTAAGTCGATATTGTTGAGAAAAATTGCCTGAAGTAAGCGATTGCTGCCCAAGAAGTTCTTTGCCACTGATCTGTCTCCATAATCTGGCTTTGGAGTTCCTTATTTGCTATTTTGAGCGGACAATTAAATCCTTCCTTGTCCTGTGTTGTGGATAACTTCTTGTTGTCCAGAGAAATGTTTGAGCTCTTGTTTCCTTTTAATAAGCTATATTTATCCGTTTGCTTAAAAACCAGACTTTCATTTTGCTGTTATTGGGCTATCGCAATCAACAAGACAGACAGCCTCTCACCTGTATACAAATGGCATTTTAGGACATAAGTCATCATTCCTAACTGCTGAGAGTTTGTGTACCTCAGTCTTCCTGTCTGGACTTACTCGTGTGTATCTCTGTTCCACCTGATGAAATTTCCAAATGAAACTCTTGTTTCTTCATCCACATCATGTTTGCAGTACTCCTTGGTAGAGCTGTGCATGCCAATTAGAACATGGCAAAAGAAGTTTAGATTCCAGAGGTACAGTTCTTACACTTTAACAACTTATTGCAATGAGAAAGATTATCTGTGTGTCCAGCGTAGGTTCATGCTTTTAAGTAGATGACGTTAGGTAAAGATGAATGTGTTATCAGCTGACAACCCAAGAGATCTTGCAGTCTCATAAACACTTTCCTGAAATGCTATCTCCTAACTTAGTATTTCTCATAAGTAAGTTTGATGAACACAGATTGTTATTCAATAGATTTTTTTCCTGCTATGGGGAGCCCCCCCAAAAAAAACCTCTACTGATCACAACAAAAGTCACCAAGTGTGTAGAATATGGATGATAAAATTATGTCCTTACACTTATGCTCTACCAGAACCTGTGGTTTAAAGAGGATGGGGATGGGTGGGTAGAAGAATGTATATAAAATATTAGAAACATTAGTAAGGAAACTAGTCAGTATACAGGAGCA